GAATGATATATTATAAAAATAGGATTTGTGTCCTCCCTGCAAAATCATTTTTTTTGGAATCCATTGAGTAGCACAGAAAGGAATTCACCATTGGGTTATACTGCTGCCTACAGAGGTTTTGGACACTAGCAAACAAAAAAACTCTGGGCCAGCCCAGAATAATCCCTCCCACCATCAGCATGCCTCAGTTTTGTAGCAAATAGGTAGCAGTTTTGTAGCAAAGCATGGTTATAAATAAAAATGGGTGAGACCTGTGCCTCTCAATGGAATCTAAGAAAAGGATTACACTTTGAGGAAAAAAATGCTATTTTCTTTCTTGTTGACTGAGGAGTAGAAGAAGTCATTAATCTTAATGGCATCCAAAAGCAGTTAACTGACGACTGGGCAATGCGGCACACAGATGATTACATGCCCAATTTGAACAAATTAAAAACACTGCGGAGTAACCTGCAGCTCAGGAGCTGCCTGAAGGATCTCATGCCTCAAGCTAGCATCAGATGGGGATGCAACCTCCACCTGATTAAAATAAATAGAAGATCAGGTGGCAGCCTTGCATAAGGCCAACATTGCTTGATGCCAAAAAGATCAAGAAGCACTCAGTAAAGTATGTCTTGACAAGAAGAAGAGGAAACAGATCCTTAAAGTATATCTAAATTCTAACAATAAATATTCTCTTATTTGCGCCCTATGGTCTGTTAAATATACCACTGAAAGAATTTTGTTACAGCTGTTCAAGAAGTGTTAAAAAATAGCTGTTCATTCAGTCAGAAATCTTGAGAGCTGATAACTTCCAGTGATATAGTCATAGGCCTCAATTTACCTGACCCCATTATATACCCAAAAAAGAAAAGGGGATTTTGTTGCATGGAAAGACCGTCAGGGTCAGCCGTTTACCACACAAAGGTAATGATTACAAGGAAAGAACCTCCCCTTGAAATAGAGAAATAACGCCTCTAAGAAGTGCCAACAGTGATCCCTGAAAGCTCAAAGAGAAACAAGTTTTGATCCCATAGGGTCTCAGGGGATACACAGGATACAAGCCTTAAGCAACAGGGGGAAGGTTAACTTTCTTAACCAAAATTAACAAGGAAAGAATCCATACTTGAGTGTGTGGAGAGCCAAACTCTAGCCTAACCTATCTGCAGTAAGGGAAGACATCCCTGTAGCAAAGCCACATGATAGACCTCACTGGAAAAAGTCTTCCCATCCTCAATCATTGTAAGAATCACAGCTTTCAAGATGTTCCAGTTTCGCTAAATCCAATTATCTGCTAATGTCTACAAAGCAAAAGTCAGGAGTGTCACCAGGTTGGCGATGTACATTCTCCTGGGTCAATCCAGCACAAAGAAAATCACATAAAAGCTCTCCACCTAAAATCTGTGAATCAAATGAGGAAGGATTATTAGAGGAGGAGAAGCCTCGATTCAGATATAAAGACCCCAAGAAATCACTAGACCATCCACTGTTACCACTAGAGGATTCTTACACCTAGAAGGGAACTGATTCATCATGCAAATGAGCCACAATATCGGGGGTCTACATTTGGCATCCTCCACCCTAGAATGCACTTAGATACGTAGAATGCTCCCCTGGGTTTCCAGGTTAAAGAAGTCTGCCTGCACTTAAAAAGAACATGGCAAACAATTTCAATTCTATATTTAGTGGAATGCGTCAAAATACAAAAGCTTGACTTGACATACATATTGGGTACAGACAGACCTTTGGAAGCATTCTCTGTGAAAAGGACAACTTAAAACAACGACCTTCCCCTGACCAGCACACAATAAATGGTACAGTATTACATAGAAGGCTCACACAGTAAGAATAACTGCTAGCAGGATGTATGGTAGGGACTAAGAGCCTTAAAAGATACACAAATAAATAGATTGGTAGCTCAACGAGCTGAGGAGAAAGAAAGCATAGAAAGTGTCAAATGTGCATGTATCATATGCAATACAATGTGCATGAATAGTGTAATGTTGATAAATGTAAGGTTATGCCCTTTGGGGCTAAGAATATGCATGCATCATACATACTAGGGGGAGTACAACTGGGGGAATCAATGGTGGAGAAGGATCTGGGAGTTCTGGTAGATCACAAGCTTAATAATGGCGTGCAATGCCAAGATGCGGTTTCTAAAGCGAGCAAAATCCTCTCTTGTATTAAAAGAGGTATAGACTCCAGAGAGAGAGATACACATTACCCCTGTACAGATCATTAGTAAGACCTCATCTGGAATATGCGGTTTAGTTTTTTGGGCACCAATTCACAAAAAGAACATTGGGGTACTGGAGAAAGTGCAGAGAAGGGCAACCAAACTGATAAGAGGCATGGAGGAGAGATCAGCTATGAGGAAAGATTAGAGGAACTGAATTTATTCTCTCTTGAGAAGAGGAGATTAAGGGGAGATATGATCAACATGTATAAATACATCAGTGGTTCATATAATGAACTCGGTGTACAGTTATTCACCCTGAGGTCATCAGAGGACAAGGGGGGACTCTCTACGTCTGGAGGAAAAGAAATTTAATCTCCAAACACGGAAAGGTTTCTTCACAGTGAGAGCTGTGAAAATGTGGAAAAGACACCCTCAAGAGTTGGTTCTGGCCAGCTCAGTGGATTTCTTCAAAAAAGGCCTGGATTCTTTCTTAGATACACAGAATATAACTGGATACTAACATTTATAGGTAATGTTGATCCAAGGAATATCCGATTACCTCTCGGGGGATCAGGAAGGAATTTTTTTTCTCAGCAGGAGCAAATTGGATCATGCTTTGCTGGGTGTTTTTTTTTTTTTGCTTTCCTCTGGATCAACTGTGGGTATAGGATTATAAATTTTGTGTTTTCTATGGTTGAACTGGATGGACTTTTGTCTTTTTTCAGCGAGACTAACTATGTAACTATGCATCCAATCGGTCATACCCGGGTAGTAAACGCAAACCTACAGCACTTTTAACTTCTTTGGGATGGAAAAAGTGGCACCCTAAGGCATCTACACAGGGAAGGGAAACAAAATAAATTAAAAAGGGGGGTGGGATAGAGAGGCAAGGGGTGGAAGGAAAGGGAGGGGGGACCATGGCATGGGCAATGGTGCAGAAAGGCTGTTAGGAGACTAATCAGAAGTATTAGAGGTATTCCAAAGTACCTTTCTTGCTGCAGCAGGACCATGCCACCACTGTGGTGTTGTCCAGCTGGATCCAGATCAGATGACCTTCCAAGAAAAACGATCCAGTGATGTAAAAAAAAAAAAAAAAAAAAAAAAAAAACACATCTCCTGTAACTCCAGGATGTAGACCAGGAAACAAGAAGTCTTTAATGATCAAGACCACTTCATAGAGAGGGTGTCCATGATTCATCCCCAGTCCAATGGGCTGCCATCTGATGACAGGATCTTCCAGAAAGTGGAAGAGAAGGACTAACCTAAATCAAGAGCTGGTAAATCGATCCACCAGACTAGGAACTGCCTGATACTCAGGAGCAGACAGATCAGCTATATATATCACACTGATTCCATTTAGGCTCTATTTTTATTGGGCTTAAAGTGGAATTTTAGATCCAAAAATAAAAAAGGGCAAACAGGCAGGAATTTTAATGCAGAAGAGACATGCACAGTCTCTTCTGAATTAAAGTTACTTACCTGCCTGTCTGCTCCTGTATAATGAGCAGCGCATCAGCAACTCACTGTACAAATTCGGCAATGCCATATTTGACTGAACTCCTGCGCAGGAGTGATTTCATCCCTGTCCAGCCAGTGATAAAGACCCCAAAAGGTGCCTGCCTGAAATCTCAGCGTCTGGGCGGGGAGCTCTGGGAAGCCACAACGCTGGAGTTTAGGTGAGTATTGTTCCTCTTTAAAGAGTAACTGACAAGGATGCATAAAAGTGTCACGGTCTCCTTGATGAAAACAACAGGACACTTCTGCCAAAGAGAATCTTTCAAAAAAGTAGAAAAAAAGCATGGTACATACTTACCTTCTGATGCATGGCAGTCATTCTTTGGTATTTTGGGACAAAGTGGGGCATTGTATGGAGGAGTCTCATGAGAGTATCTCTTTGCTCCTCTTCCTGGTCCATGAATACTGCCCTCAGAGTTGCACCTTTCTGCAGAGAAGGAAAAAGAAACAGGGAGTCACTGCAGATATACTAAAGCATAAAAATCAATTCCCATAAGATAAGACCAATGGAGCTTTACCTGGCAGATATCGCTCATTCTCATATTGCACCGACTGTTGTGAAGGATTCTGGGTAAAGGGCTGGTTACCAAATAGGTTGTCACTATGTAGATTCCGACAAAGTTTCTCCAGAAAACGAAGGACATAACCAATACTGTTTACTGCTGGAAGGTTCAAAGTGTATGTTGCTCCCTCTCAAATACCGCTAAAATGATAAGATACTAGTTAAAAACTAAAAATATAAGTTCCCGCATGGTTTCATTACATTTAATAAGAAGGCAATACTAATCACCATGGATGGCCAAATATACCTACAACAGTAGGTCTTAAAGTGCTATGAACGGGAGACCAGTTTAAAACAAGTTACAGAGACCAATAACTACTATCCAATTCTTATTCTCATCACTAATAGCAACTGCACAATTGAGACCCACTCAGTGTTTAGGAGTCAGTTAGACCAATCTCTCAATCCTAAGAAAACTAAAACCCAGGTGTAGCCATTGCACTGGTTACCAAACCAAAGGGATGTGTCCAGGTAAAAATAATAAACAATATAAAGAAGAGTGTCCGAGGGACACAGCGGATCACCAATCCGCAGAAAGAGGAGAAGATGCCGGCTCGGTCATGCGATCAGCTGTGTCCAATCACAGCTGATCGCATGTAAACAGGGAAATGCCGGTTATTGGCATTTCTCTCCTCACAAGCTATCATGCTGACAGCTCGTGAAGAGAGGAGAGCCGGTAATCGGCATTCCTCGGAGGGGACATGTGCACTGATCATCAGGGCACTGATGATCAGTGTGCCCTGATGATCAGTGTAGCCCCAGCAGTGCCACCTGTCAGTGTCCATCAATGCCAGCTCTCATCCATGCCACCTGCCAGTGCCCATCAGTGCCACATCAATGCCACATATCAGTGCCTACCAGTGCACATCAATGCCACATATCAGTGCCCATCTGAGCTGCCTTTCAGTGTCACCCATCAGTTCCAGTCAAAGCCACCTATCAATGCCAGTCAGTGCCACCTATCAGTGCTGCCAATCAGTGCCAGTCAGTGCCGCCTATCAGTGTGCATCAGTGCCCGTCAGAGCTGCCTATTAGTGCCGCCTAACAGTGCCAGTCAGTGCCACCTAACAGTGCCGCCTATCAGTGCTGCCTTTCAGTGCCCATCAGTGATGCCTGTCAGTGCCACCTACCAGTGCCTCCTCATCAGTGTCCATCAGTGCAGCCTATCAGTGCCCATCACTGCAGCCTCATTAGCGCACATCAGTGAAGGAGAAAAATCACTTATTTACAAAAAATAAGAAAAAAAAAAGTTTTTTTTAATTTTCAGTGGTTTTTGGTTTGTTTAAGAAAAAATAAGAAACCCAGAGGTGATTAAATACTACCAAAATAAAGCTCTATTTGTCACGTAAAAATGATAAAAACTTCATATGGGTACAGTGTTGCATGACCGCGCAATTGTTATTCAAATTGTGATAGCACTGAAAGCTGGAAATTGGCCAGGGCAGGAAGGGGGTATAAGTGCCCTGTAGGCAAGTGGTTAATAAATCACACTATATTTATATACTACACTATGGTAAGCGTTTCTGTTTACATATGCAGAGGATATGTGGGATAAAGAGGAGACGAGACCGTTTGCAGCAGAGTGAGGAGGAAAGTGGAGTCATCTACACAGTATACCTACCCGGGTTAAAAGGGAAAGATGGTATTTGACCTATGCAATTTGGATCATAAAAGGAGGTGAGAGTATATATTTATGTCTCTGGTGGAGGAGCACCTATAGGAATACATGTGGATAAAAGCAATAAAGAGCACCTGTTCGGGAACAAATTATAAAGGCACGGCTCAAATCACACATTATGGACTTTTAAGTTGTATTCATTGTGTTCACCGTTGTTGCATAATCACATGGTCTGGATGTTTAATTCATATATAAAGGTTACAGAGATATATACGAGGCACTATTATATGACATATCTTTTGTGTGTGGAAATGCATGGAAGTGTCAGCAGCACTGGTATACACAGGAGATTGAGGAGTTATTTGTTGCGCTGAAGTTTTATTTGCACACAGGAGCTGGAGCTTGTTACATGTTCCACCCTAAATACGGATGGAATAGGTAACATGTTCCAAAAGTGACGTCATCCTTTAAGCTGCTCCGATTTAATTTCACTTTCTTACTGATGTCTCACTTTCCTTGATTCATTGCTAAGTCTTGTCAATCGGCATCCCCCAAGTACAATACAGGCCACTGAGACAGTGTCATTAAACAGGGGGAAGGCAGTTGTCGGGTCATAGTGATAAAATCAGGGTAAGTAAGGCACCAGTTAGAAAGTGAAACTAAATCAGGGACGGGCACAGCTGAATGTTTTCTTCAAAAAGAGACAGTGCCCCCTCCTCCCTTAGGCTGAATGTACCTCTTAAAATCAGGCCTAAGTCAACAGACTTATAATGTGGCATTGGCTGAACTAGGAGTTCAGGTTCACATTAAGAGTCATTTTTACCATAATCTTTATTTTTTCACAATATTCTATTCAATCCATAAATATTACATTGGTATTCATTACAGTTATTTTACTATAGCAAGCCTTTACCTCTCATGACCTAGTAATTTACAAAGGCATTTATTTTGGAATCAAGTAATTTGCAATGCTCTTTCATCACATTAGGGTTTTGTGGAAACAATAAACATTTCTCACCAGATATAACCTCCCCACCATGACCCTGCTTGAGGAAGCTAAAGACCGTTTTCTGGTGGTATGCACAGTCTATGCAGGCCTGCACAGCTTGCTGAAGAACAACAGACGCCCGGGCAGGTCCAAAGTGATCTGGAAGGTGCTGAACTTTCTTTCGGTCAAGGTGAGGGCCAGAATCTCCATTTTTGTTTAGGTAAATGCAAACTAAGGGCAAGAAAACACAAATTAAGCATATCTATGGTCAAGATTTAAAATCATATACTCATTTCCACATTGTTTTTCAATTATTTCTAGCCTACTCCTTTTATCCTCACACATTTACTTCCTTGAATTCTGTGAGATGTACTCATTATGCACTGCATGTAGGCTCTCCTTTGTGTCATAAAAGTCACAGAGCCTGCTTTCTGAACTACAGAGGTAATGGCAGGATGGGTTTAAGGAGGCAGTCCAGGAATCACTGCTTGTAGGCAGCAAAGTACCATGAAATATGTAGTCCTTAGAAAATAACCAGCAGAGAAGAATATGCAAGGCATGCAAGGAATTCAGGAAGTTGTGGGAAAAGATGGTCAGCAGAGAGGCAGAACTCACAACATGAAGAGATTTATCAAGCAGGCTTATATTTAATTGTCAATGAGATTTACAAAGCTCTGGCAGACTGTATTGCCAGTCTAGGTAGCCCGACTTTTCTCTGCTGTAGTTAAAAGTAGACCTAAAGCCTTGAATAAGGAAAGAATAGGTGCTGTAGCACTACATCAGCAGTTTTCTCTCAACCCTCTCTGCAAAGTCCCCCAAGTACCTGTTGATCCTGTCACTGAAGTACACCTAATGTAGCTTCCTGTGGCACCATGCTGCACTGCTCTTCAATTCAGAGCAGAGTTACCACAGCAAGCTACATTAGGTGTACTTCAGTGGCAGGATTTACTGTACTTTAGAGAACACTAAAGGATTAGCAGGATCCCTGATTGGATCATAGCACTTGCCTGTCCCTCTCTCAGAGGGTAGGGAGTCATACGCAAAAATGCAATTTTTTCAATTTTGTTTTAAAGCAAGTCTAAGCCCAACATTGAATGTATTGCAGCCTACCAATTCTTAGGCAAGGTGGTTGCTGTAGCTTTATTTTGTAGCCCCTTTCCCCTTTATGTTCACCTGGTGATTTTGTCTGAAACACACTTTGTATTCTAGGGTGACAACAGTTACTCACTATACTGCTTCGCTTTGAAGTGAACCCATAGTGACAAAAAGATGGAGGCTGCCATTGCTTGACATCCCTCTAAAAATGTTTGTTGCCTGACTTTTTCTGGCATCAGTAAATTCTGAGGCACTGCATGTAAGTCAGGAAACCTGATTAAAGTCAAAGCCCCCAATCTGCACACTTGTTCTAGGTCAGTGACTCAGAATATATCCAATGGGTAAGCATGGCAGCAAGGGAACTAGTATCTATACAAGCGAAGGTTATCAATTGCAACTTCCATACTTCCTTATTACAGGAATACTTGAAGTGATAAAGGTGCACAATTAAAGGGGTATTGAAGGTTTTTGCACACAGCAGCCCCGATCCTCTTCTTCTTGGGTCCCCTGCCGGCGCTCTTGGCTCCTCCACCTTGACCAGTGCTCCCAATAGCAAGCCGTTTGCTACTGGGGCACTGGTGCGCACTTGTTCCCGAGCATCACTCTATGCATCCATATGGCCCTCGCTCTCTTCTAACTCTGACTGTAATTGACAGCTGCGTATCAGGCAACGAGGAGACCTGAAACGATCAAGGCTCCTGTGCACATCGCTGGATTGAGAGGGGGCTCAGGTGAGTATTAGGGGAGGGCTGTGGGGGGAGCAGCACACAGCAGGTTTTTTTTTACCTTCATTCACAGAATGCGTGAAGGTAAAAAACCTTCAGCCTTAACATCCAATTTTTTTTTTAACTTGTTTTTATTGAGTATGTGCAAATAAATGTACATTCACAGAGAAATATTCTGTATATGTAACCTGCAGCATCTGTGGAAAAAGTAAACAGCAGCAGAGGGAGATGAACTAGCAGCAAAATTATTTTGCCTTGAATACAGGTATGTTTTAGGTACAGTATTTTTTTAACACTTTAAAAGGGTAGAAGAAATGATTTTCATCTTCAGCATAGATTAATAATTCTCTATTTACCTGTAGGGGCCTGCATGGCAGCACATGGAATGGTGGCAGCATCCTGTGGTACAGTGCTGGTGTCTGGTTCTGGTGTACTGTTTGTCGGGGAAGTAGGAATCTGGTTCAGCAAAACCCGAGGCTTTCTCTAAGAAGCAATATGCATGTTTAATCATTAGCATGGACATTTTTATATGTTGTCCCATCATTTCAAATATAATACCCATGTTTTTGTTTTTTTTAGAAACATTGAGGGCCAATTCACATTATAGTGATCAATTGCAGTGCGTCAACAAGAGCTATGGCATGCTTTAAAATGTTCTGTGTTAAGAAATCCCACTCATTATGAATGGCCTGCCAGCGTGCTAGGACCGATGAAAAAAAAAACATGCATGACCCTTTTTTAAACAATGCATGGTATATGTGCTTGGGTGCATTGCAGTGCATTGGGCTCTGCTGTACAATCGGATGAGGTGTCATTCACAATGAATGGCATATCAAAACACCGCATATACACCAGGTGCATTGCCATGTGTTGTAGCAATGCGTGTTGGCATGCCATTTATTAATAAGTCTTTTTTATTAAAGTTTGATAAGATAGCCCATGTGTTTTTGTGTGAGTTTCCACAGTGAAGTGTAAATGGGCTTTAAGAATGAGACAACTAATTGGGTGAATTATTAGAAATGGGATTGTTCCTCAGATATATGCAAAAAATTATGTTATAAATTGATGGGAAAAAAAAGCTTCCCAGGCAGTATGTTTTAGGAAGTATTAATTTCTTATGGCCAAATTAAGTAAAGCCTCCAATATCCCATATACCAAATCCAATGTACTGCTTGCAATGCTAAATAAAACTTAAGTATAAGATTTTTCCCAGCCATTGTGACAAAGAGGGCTCTACTAACAACGGATCTTTGAGTTGAATTCAGGTGAATGTAAGCATATTATGCATATTAACCTCCATGCCCCCAGTGAAGAACCTCAGCTGCAAAGTGGCATTTATGGCACACGTTGGGTAAATTTGGGCACACCGATTTTCAGAATCCATAAGGAAATCTCCAATTTCCATGTCTAGACACCTGATTATTTGTACAAGCGAATTGCAAAGTGGGAAGAACGAAAAGGAAATGTGCCAGACCAACACTTTGCAGTGGAGTATTTGTGAACTAAAAGAACAGAGGTAAATGTAGATGCACTAAAGTCACCTCAACTCCGTCCAGAGATCAGTGATTAGTGGAAATCTGTTCTTAACATAAATGTTCAATCCCTGGACTTTTCATAGGTTAGATCTATACACTTTAAGCATACAGAAAAATAAATACCTTGCTTCCTGGTTTGGGACCCCTTTTTCTT